CAAATCTGTCTCCAGCTCATCCTCTTGAAGCCCTATCATAATTACATTTTTATTTCTGTTGACATCACTGTTATTATTGGTTCCCTCCATTTTAAGTTTCAGGAGTTCATTTTGCAGGTGTAATATTTTTTTTGATAGGTGCTCCTGTTCTTTTTTTAGTTCTTTGTTTTCATTCATAATTTTCTTCAAAGAACCTTTTATGTCGTCCATTTGGTCACTATTGAACGATGCTGCTTCTTCTAGACTTTCCAGTTTTTTCATGATTTTGTCAAACATATTTTTTGTGTTATCGTTTCTCTTCATGTCAGCGTCTGGTGTGACGCTTTTCTTGGTTTTCATGTACTGCTTCCTCTGCTTAGTCTGCTAATATTCTGCTAATATTCTTCCAAAATCCTCTTTGAACATTATAACATTCTTTCTGTTGATCAATTGTTTTATAAAACATCAACAATATACATAAGAAAACATTTACAAAACCATCATCATGTAGATCATAAATATGATACCAAAAATTTAATAGATGGTTGGATATCGCCTGAGAAATTCTCTTCAACTCTAATGCAATAACATGCCAATCATGTAGGTAAAAAAATTTACAATAAATTGCCTTTCTTTGAAAAAAAAAATCAGTTTTTTTTATTCAAGAAGAAAATTAAATCGTGGTTGGTTGATTAGAAAATGAATTTAAGTTAGTCAGTGGAAGGAAAAAAAATATTACATGATCATGGACAAGTTTTCAACTTTTTTGATCATGTTTATATTATATCAAAAAATGTATATTATTATTGATAAAGTACGCTGATAAGTATTTTATTTTGAAAATGAATAAATAAAAAAATGAATAAAAATTCCATTCGGCCGATATGGACTATACCACAGATTAACAAACCATACAGATGAGACACTCCGCCCCTTTTGCTTGATGTACCGTCACATGTGTTTCGTGACCTCGTCTTTTTACACTTTGCGCGTCACGGTTGCCGGTTCTCAAAATGTCAGGTTGAAGTCATGGTGCAACGTTGCCATATCAACGAATACCTTGATATCAGGAATTTACTTCATTTGAAATTCGTAAAGCGTACATTGAACTGATATCATAAAGTGGTTTAAATGTGTTTGTTGGTTGGCTCAGACATATTCTATATCACCTGACTCAGATCTACACAAAATAATAGTAGATTGTTTTATTAGGATCAAAAGTGACACTTTGTTTGACGAGTCGAACAAAGTCACTTTTGATCCGAATGAAACATGCTATTTTTTCTGCAACCGAAACAATCAACTCAAATAAACATGTGAAGTAACCACCAATGCCGTGTCATATGTATGCAATGCAACAAATAATGACAAATAATCCTCCTCTTTGAATAATCCATGTGCTGAGAATATTCTACCTGCATCAACAGCAGGTTAGGTTTTCTAGGATGTTCGAATTGTAGTTTTAATATAAATACAACCACAGAGTGACATATTTGTGTATGAACCAGGTGCTCTAATGGCAAATACCTCGCCAGTGCCAGCTATAGGAACAAGACGTGGAAAATGTTGATAACTTGATAATCAAATGAAGCTAAACAATATCGTTGTTTGAGACAAAAAAACTATTGCTTGCCGTGATTATTCAAAAACAAGTTATCCATCCCGAGAATAACGAATGAAATACAGATCAAGCAAGTATTTGAATCTTGAAGACTTCCCTGATCAAAACAAAAATACTTTACAGAGATGTTTATAATTCCAATACTAAACTATAATAAGGAGTATTTATATATCCAGCATGGGTATGAAATGCCAAATCTGCTGAAATCGGAAACAAATCAGGTATGCGTCTCAACCCAAATAACCAACCGTCACAATGTTGTTTATTTTTGATGACTTCCAGTACATCCTTTTTAGTTCCTAGGAGCTAAAGTTCAACTTTAGCTCCTACGAACTGAAATTCAACTTCAGCTCCTAGGAACTAAATATGTTGCCTAGCAACATACCTTTTTTTGTGTCAGTAATAGAAACGTCAATTTAAGAGCTAATTTTGGCATCAAAATGGACGACTTTTGTGTCGGTTGCAGAAAAATGATATCATGAATTGAAAAATTTTTACTTCAGAATGAAATTGTTGTGGGAAATGAATATGTATTGAACTAATATAATATGCAGATAGTGCCTTGTAATTAGTTTATAAATATTTTTCTACAATATCAATCAATTTATTGGAAATATTCAACATCATATATATTTGATTCTCAAGTTCATTTTACAAAATTCGTGAAATAAATCAACATGTAAGAAATATTTAGGAGAAATTAATTGAATATATTGGACACTTGAAAGGTGTGAGCTTTATTCATTCATTAAGTTTTACTGGTTTACAATAAAAGTTAATAACAAAATGAGTATCTGAAATTATTTATTGTAAATACAATAGATTTCAACAGCGTTTCCATGCATACAAAATTTAATAAGTGACATGACAAATACATTTTATTCTACATTACAAGAGATAGGTAACTTCATGTTCTTTGAAATATATGAGGTGTTCTTGCAGTTTATATATACACAACGGTGTCTTCCACTAGGAACTGCTGCATATTCCACTTTCTGCTCACTCATTATACTGATTTGAGTTGAACAAGAAACTCTTCAAAAACAATCACAACTCAAAACACAATCTCAACTTCGATCATAACTCAATCCACTATCAATATTCACAGATTTTTGCACTACTTGCTCAACACTGATATACAGGGTAACTCACAGTCGACGTTTATGGATTTTTCTGAAAATTTCGCATCTTACATTTCGTCACCTGTTCTATCGATCTAAAATATTTTCGAAATTGCGACGTTGCCGTTTCTATCAAAAAGTCCTAGCAACTTCATTTTTTTAAATGGAATCAACAAATTTTTAGAATTGCCTATTTATTACAATACTCTTTTGTTAATAAATCCCTATAACTATCTCTATGGGTTTTCGAGATGAAAATTAATTTGTGTTAAATATGATCCAAAATATATCCCTAATTAAACTTATGTAAATCAGGGCTCTCGAATCATGAAGAGTTGATATTTTAGTGGTGGTTTGGACAGGATAGATGTATTCAATTTACACCGAGAAGTCGCCTCCATATCATACAGGGCATGCTGGAATTATTATTATATCCGTTGTTCATATAAGTGGTCAAAAGTTCATTTTTTCAAATGGAAGCCACTGTTTTTTACTCAATGAATTGAAAGACGAGAAAAAATATTACAAGATGACATAGCATGTCCCCGAGCATGTCCCTATACCTAAATCATCAAGTTTTCTTAATAAAACCGCTTTTTGTGGTCAAATTGAATTGTATTGAAAAGGAATATTCTCAGATATATTATAAACATGAAAAAATGGATACATTTGAATAAATACATTGAGAATTCGCATTCTCTATGTGATGAAATTATTAATCCTTTCTCGGCATATTCAACAGAAAACAACTACTTTCTGTTGAATATGCCGAGAAAGGATTAATAATTTCATCACATAGAGAATGCGAATTCTCAATGTATTTATTCAAATGTATCCATTTTTTCATGTTTATAATATATCTGAGAATATTCCTTTTCAATACTTTCATACCCAATCAAGGGGTTCAAACTTGAACGATGGAAACTTGTTATTTTTATAGACCTTCAATCGCAGATTCGTGATTGGGTTTTTCTCAATTCAGAATTTCTTTCCACGCCCTGTATGATAAATGTCAGTTTGTCATACATCTAAAAAAATTGAATTGTCCCAAAATACAATCGAGATGAATTGAAGAGAATGATAGTCTCTATTTGTCATGGTCGAGTGATATTCAGGAAGATTATTTCATGAAAACTGTATAAAAAACTCGTTTATAAAAGTTTCAACATTTTATTTAAATTATATTTTTTCAACCTTGAACAACTTTCAAATAATAAAAACATAAATTAATAATGATCTGTTCATTTGAAATTGAAAATGCAATTATTGTAAGTGATATTCGCACCAACACCATGCATGGATAATTCCTGTTGGTGACGCTTCATGTATCTTTTCTTGTATCACCTATGTTGTTGAAGTTGAAGCCTGCATTTCTTCTAACTGTCACATTCTATTTATGATTTCATTGTGGTGCTCCCCATCGAGCTGAAGGTAGGGTTTGATAGAAGATACATTACTGTGGCCCGTTATTTTCATCAGTTCCTGTTCTTGCACGCCGACCTTTGGTAGCAGCGAAAGTTGGAGTATTCGCACATAATTCATCATTTTTCTGTTGCCAAAAAACCCTAAAATGGTTTCCAGACAGACTCCTTACTTCTTTTTGTATTTTTTGGAATTAATTCACATACATTTTCACTGATTTTCGTAGTAGTAGCTCACCCAAAACGCGACATTTCAAATCTGAGTAACTGATATGTCAAGCATGCCAAACCTTAACAATCGAAGACTTGGGCCTAGCCACAACACCACTATCTGGGAAATATTTCCACGGTGGCTAGTGTACAGCATATATGAAATTGCTTTGAACTTTGTCTCAGTAGGAGTGTAGTGGTCAATAAAGCAGCTTACTTGCCTTCAGATAGAAAGGTTCCTGGTTTTAGTACGTGCTCTAGCCACTCTTTTCATATTATTTTTCGAAGTGGTTAATCGGAAAAATAGTGTGGAGGTGCTCTCTGTCAGATAACTTTCTGTAGACTGCCTTGCGATAGGTGGAAATATTTCCTCATATTGGTGCTATGGCTAGACATCTTCGGTTAGACGCTAGTCAATCAAAACACTCTTATGCTGTCGAACAGAATAGCCGCTCATATCATGTTTGTTTACCTAAATAGCCGCTAATATCGCATATCATGTGACATCTATCATGAAATTCCATAGCCAGGTGTGAATGAAATAATCCCTTTAAACTTTGAGCTTTTGTCATCTCTCTCTAATTTTATGCGCCTTGTGTGACTGTCTCATCTGTAAGGTTTGTTAATCTGTGACTATACAAAACGTACCGATCCGATCGCACTCACCTCCTGGGCGGCCTTCTGCAACTCCGCCCCGTCAGACCCACCACCCGGCTCACCTCCCCGCCCCTCTGCCACCCCCTGGCCTCCCGCCCCCTTGACGCCGCCCTTCGCCTCCTCGCCTGCCCCAATCCCAGCCACCCCTTCGCTCGCCTGCGGCTCCTCCGGCATCTCGAACACGCACTTCAGCTTCGAGTCCATCAGCTGCTCGGGCGTGATCTCCTTCCACAGCTGGTCGAGGTTGAATTCTCCGTCGGGAGCGAAGACGGTTTGCACCATGAACTTGTGCTTGTTTTTTTCGGCCGGGTCGAACAAGAACGGTTGCAGAGATACTGAAAGGAAATGTGATTGTTCCATTATCATATAAATACAAATGCGTTTTACTATTTATCAAGCATCGAACATCCTGGTCTTTCGAGCCGGATCTATTCAAATCGAACCATCAAGACTGTCAAGTAGCAGAGCAGCATTTTTGACTACCTGGAGAAACTGTAAATGCTGGAGCATCGGATGTTCAATGACAGCAAAATATCTCATTCGTCACTTCGACAATGAACCGAACATCAACCGTCACACTGATAATATAAAGAACATAAGGAAAGTGAAACATTTGAAAAATCTGATAACCAGGACAACAGGAATCTACAAAACGTTTTATCGACCCATTTCACCAACTGCAGAAGACCAGAAACAGAAAGTCTTCGAACTATTACAAAAATCAGACACCCCAGAAACTCCTCTTCACGATCCTTTGATTGAACTCTTATACAAACTGACAAGCACACAACCCATCCCAGAAAGTATATCCTGTTTCACACAAAATTTTGACCACAATTAATGTAACATGGAGTTGATAGAAACAATGGCACTTCAGCTCTGAGTCCATCAGCTGCTACGTCGTTATTTCCTCCCACAGCTGATCGAGGTTCACTTCTCTGTCGGAAGCAAAAACGGTTTACACCATGAACTTGTGCTTGTTTTTTTTTTCGGCCGGATCGAACAAGACCGGTTGCAAAGATACTGAATACAAATGCGGTTCACTATCTATCAAGCATCGAACACATTGGTCCTTCGAGTCGGATATATTAGGATCAATTCTTCAAGACTGCCATCTAGGAGAGCAGCACTTGTGAGAAACAGTGAATCCCAAGCAGCTGGCATCAGATGTTCAACGACAGCGAAATATCTTGTTGTCCACTTGGACAATAACCCTAACTTCAACCGTCACACTAATAATATAAAAAAATGTATATGAAGAGGACAACATTTAGAAAATCTGATAAACAGGTATAAACAGGAATCTACAAAATGTTTTGTCGACCTATTCCGACCTTTTCATCCATTTAATAAATCTATTTTAGTGGAAAATTCGAATCATTTCTCTCGCATTCATAGAACTCGAGAACTCAAGCTCTGACGTACTAATGCCTCATCTTGTATGCCAACTGCAGAAGACTCGCTATAAGGAACTTGAAAGTAGCTGAAACATCAAGTCTTCTAACTATTAAAAAAGTCAGGTACCCCAGAAACCCTCATGATCCTTCGAATGAGGTCTTATACGAACTGACAAGCACACAACCAATCTCAGAAAGAATATTCTGTCTCAGGAAAAAGTTCGTCCACAAATAATGTAACATGGAGTTGATTAAACCGATGGTGATAAAAATAAACCGAAACCACTGACACTTCAGCTTCAAGTCCATCAGATGCTTTGGCGTTATTTCACTGGCTATCATAGAACTTCCACAACTAGTAGCATCAAAAATTATTTCAACTTCAAGTAAGTCAAGCACAAATTTGGTGATTCTTTCACATCAACCTTTTTATATTGTAGAACTTTCAATTAGGATGAAGATGGTCTTTTATAAAACCGAAACATGTCCCTTTCTTTGAAAAATTTCACTCCACTTTGAGCAATATGGACTTCTCCCAAAGACAAATTATTTTACTGTTAGGAGCCTTCTTCAATTCACATAAAAAAATGTCAAGCAATAGGAAATGCCCTTCCTTCATATACCTACAATAAAATCAAAGTTGAAAAACCGTAGCTAGAAAAACCTTCCTTAGGTACTTACTCAATTTTTATCCTTCTTCCAGTGATGTTTGAACAAAAGAAACAAGGATTCTTGCAATAATTTAGTAAAATAACCTGCGATAGCTACACCACTGCTCAAGTTGAAAGAAACGGATAACTGTCGAAATACCAATTCAATTGAAACATAAAGAGTCCTAATATGGTAACAAACACAACAAAACAACAATGTAACGTCGGATTTTGACAAACGAGAATTACTTTAAGAAAAATATGCGTAACTCGTAGTAAACACGCCAATACAGCGTTGCCATATCTATTTATATAATTTATTTATTTATTTACGAAAAGGAATACAAACGGGACTAATTCAAAAGCAGTATTCACAGATATGTCATATCTCATCATACAGATATATTAATACTAAACAAATCGAATATCAATCACAAAGATGATGAAAATCAATAATTGAAGTAATTAATGATTGAGTAGGTATAACATGTAGTGATTCTAGTGTGTTGATACAAACAAAGGTGAAATAATTTTATTTACAATACATTATATATAATATGTTATAATTTGATGAAATGATGAAATTAGGAAAATTTCAATTATTTCAATAGCAGAAATCACATATTCACGCATATAAATATACATAAAAAGTGTTTACATTCAGGGTGATTCCAAATTGAACGTCAATATTTGACTAGGCAACTCTTGAGCCCATTTTTAGAAGAAAATTGCACATGAACGTATGACCTAAACGTCTTGACTTTTGAAATACAGGGTGGTAAAGTTCTTGAAATTAAAGAGTTTCTTTATAATATCTGTAATACCACTTTAGATATTTAGATGAAATTTGGAATACATTTACTATGTATCAAGAAACATCAGTTAGTGTACCACATTTTTTGTTGTCATCAGTGGCGTTTGTATGGAATTTCACATACCTATTTTGGCAGACATTGATGATACGCCACTGATTAATTTCAAAATCATTCCTGAAATTCTCAATCTTTTCTAAGCAAAAACAATATCGTTGATCATATGACAATATCACAATTGTGTCACAATGCAGAGAAATATATTTTATTTTTTAGGTGAAAACCGTGATTCGGACTGAAACAATTCAAGATATCAAGTCGAGTAGTGGTACAGATATTAATAATATTTATTTTTGAGAACTTTACCACCATGTATCTCAAAAGTTCAGACGTTTAGGTCATACGTTCATATGAAATTTTCGTTTTGAAATGGGCCCAAAAATCGCCTCCTCAAATATTGACATTCAATTAGGATACACCTTGTATAATTAATGTTTGATTAATGCTTTCCTGGTTTCCAAACATAGGCGAAAGATCTAAGGCAATCCGCAGAAATTCGTCATCATCGTTTTCTGCTGAAAACGACGTTGGATCGGGAAAAATGTGAACACTTTCGTCTACCCTCTTTTAACATGTTTATGGTTGTATATGAACGGTATAAGCTCAAGTTCGTACTTTGCAAAATTCAACAGAAGTAAGTTTGTCAGCAGTATAAATGATATAAAGCGGTCCAAGGACATTTCCATGGAAAACCCCTGAGAAAATATCCAAGGATGTCTAGAAATACCAAAGCAATCATACTCACTCGCTATTTCGGATTTTCCGTTGGGCGCCATTACTCCAGAGTTCGGACGTACGCAGTACTTCTTGGGAGCCGTAGTTTTGATCTTGAATAGGACCTTCTTGTCAGAAGGATTCGTAAGTACCATGTAGGAGGTGACAGGAACATTGAAAGGCCCTGTTCACAAAAAAGCTGAATTTATATGTGACGGAAAACGAAATAGTTATTTATATAGCGAGTGGGTAAAGGGATACTTTCTTCACAAGTAGGAAATGTTGACCACAACGCCGAAGCCGAGTGCGGCAATTCCTATGATTAAAAAAATAGCTACTTATACAGGGTGAGTCAATAGTGTGTTCTCCTTCTATAGATAGATAGATAGATGGATAGATCTTTATTTAACTACGTGATGTATAAAACATTTGTAGCAAGTCAGGTAGCAAGTAGTTACAAAAAGTACAGTACAATATTCACTAAATAAATAAAATAACAATGATAGTAAAATAAAATAATATGTGTACATTACAACATATCATACACATATAGTAGACACAATAATTATTGGGACATATAACATGAGTATTGGAGCATAAATATATGTGTTTCAGTTTTTCAAATCACATCCTGGGTGGGTCAGCCATATAGTCAGCAATACTGTAGTAGCATTTTTCCTGTAATATCACTTTGAGAAAGTTTTTAAATGTCGATTGATTTCCATGCTTTAGTGTTGCAGGAAGTATATTGTAAAGGTCAACAATCATTGAGTTTTTGAATGACTTGTTGTATTTAAATCTTCGAGACCTGATCAAATTTGCATTGCGTGTGTTATGATCATGGTAATTTGAGTTAGTCAGGAGTTTATTTTTATTTTCATGAATCTCGAGCAGAGACTGATAAATTTACAAAGTTGGTAAAGGCATGATATTGAGTTGGCAAAATAATGGCCGACAGGAATCTCTGTAACCCGCACTACAGATTATTCTAATGGATTGATTTTGAATCTTGAACACTTTTCCAGAGTAGGAGGAATTTCCCCAAAGGGTCAATCCGTAGCTGATAATATATGATTGGATGAGAGCAAAGTACGCGGAAAGAAGAGTATTTTTATCAACAAACGCTTTTAGTTTTCTCAGAAGAAAATTGTGTTTGCTCAACTTGGAACAGGTATTTTCAATGTGTGGTTCCCAGCTTAAACTATCGTCAATAGTTAATCCTAGAAGTTTGGCGTGGTCGCCTACAGTTACTTTATTGTTTGTTGAAAAGATTAAATGTTTTGTCTTATCTTCATTCAATTTTAGTAAATTACTATTAAACCATTCTTGTGCAAGGTTTTCTGCTGTTTTCATCGAATTTAATAGAGATTCGTAACTATTTTCAGAGCATATAAGAGAGCTATCATCAGCAAAAGCAAAACCTAGATAAGGCAACATATGACAAAAAAAATCATTGGTGAAAATTATGAATAAAAGTGGCCCCAGGACCGAGCCTTGGGGTCACCTGTTTTAACCAGATTCAGCTGAGAGTTTGCTCCATTGACAGTAACACACTGACTCCTATTCTGGAGATATGACTCAAAGAGTTTTAATGATACTCCTCGTACTCCATATTGAGAGAGCTTGTTCACCAGGATGTTGTGGGAGACACAGTCGAAAGCCTTACTGAGGTCACATAAGGTTACGCCTGTTAGTTTACCCTGTTCGAAGCCCTCGACTATCTCTCTCACAACCACTGCGATTGCATGCATTGCATATATTAGCCAATCCGTCAGATATATGTACAGGGTGTCCCAGAACAACGTACATTGAATTCAACAGGGTGAACTAGAGTTCAAAATAGGTCGATTGGGACCAACTTACCTCTGTACGAAAATGCACCGTTGGGCCGTGAGAGGGCGATGAATGTAATTTTTTTTTTTTCAGATTTTATTGAATATTTCGAAATCTTTGAGAGGTAATGCTCTGAAATTTGAAAGGAGTCAACTATAAGAAGTGTGCATAGATAACAGGTCTCATCAGTTCAATCGATATACAGGAAGATACAAAGCATAGCATTTAGCATTCTGATTGGAGAAAATCCATAGAACTTTTTTTGAGTATGCCACTTACCAAATTTTAATATCTACTTGAATAACAAAATCAGTTATCTATCTTTTTTCTCGCCACATGTCTTTCTAAATTTTGCTTGGTTTACGAGATATCTGAAGAAATTCTCTATATCATCCATAGTCCAAGATATCAGAGTTATCGTGTTCTGCAGGTTTCTTCCTCCTTCGTGTTGATGTTAATTATTCAATAATATTTTCATCATACAGGATGGTCCATTTTCAACTTGACAGGGAGATTTTGGGTGATAATAGCGTAGATACGAAAAAATTCCCAGATCGGTCGATTTTAGTTTGCACCTCCTGCTAACAATCAAAGTAGTTTGCAGGTTTTTTTCGTTCTGTTCATAGTTCGGGGGCACAGATATCATATCCATTTCAGCAAGCTCTTGGATCTCAGAGACAAAGAATAATTATAATAATAATAATAATAATAAATAATAATAGGAATAATAATAAATTTCTATTCATCCTTCTTCAAATCGAAATCACTACACAAATTCAATACAGAAGGTATCCAAAATAGTTGCTCCTCCATAAATATCAAACAAGTAGGAAGAATATTCGGAAAGTTAATAATCAATAATCATCAATTTATCAAACAGAAAACATGTTTTTATTGAATAATGAATGAATAATCGATAACTATTGCAACAGTCAAGAAAACAAAAAAAGAAAACGAGAATAATGGTGGTATCAATCGAGTAAATGCTCTAAATGTCTCCCATCATTCTCTAAACATAAATGAGCTCTTTTCGCGCAGTGGAATCGTATTTTCTGAAATATTCTTGGAATATTGCGAAACTTATCAGCTGCTGTAAAAATTCTTTCTTTTAGCTCTTTCACTGTATTAATAACTATTGAATAAACTCCATTTTTCATGAATCCCTAGAAACAAAAGTCCAATGGCGTCAAATCTGGAGAACGCGGAGGCCAATGCACTAGTGCATTCCCACCTCATTCAATCCACCGGTCGGCGAATCTATCGCATAACCAAGTTCTCACCTCGCGACAGAAGTGTGGTGGTGCGCCATCCTGTTGGAACCACATTTCGTTTCTAGTCCCCAAATTAACATCTTCTAAGAGTCCCGGTAAATTATTTCGCAAAAAGTTCAAATATTCAATTCCTGTCAAGCGGTTCGGTAAAAAAAATGGCCCAATTAGATTGTCATCTAAAATCCCAGCCCAAACATTCACTTTGAAACTCCTTTGGTGGCGAGTTGGCATGATGGCTCTTGGATTCACATCTGCCCACTGATGAGCATTATGCAAGTCCATGATTCCGTTCCTCGTGAACGTCGCCTCATCGGTGTACATAATTTTTCGTCTTCATCTTCATCTTCATTGTGTTGCAACAAAAACCAACGACAATAATCTATTCTCAGTTGAAAATCACCTGGAAGAAGCTCTTGTACTTTCCTTATGCTAAATGGATGGAGTAATTGTTCCTTAAGGATTCTCCAGACTGAAGTTTTTGACAATCCTGTCTCACGAGCAAGTTGTCTACAACTTATTTCTAGGCGTTGATCAATGATTTCCAGTATTTGGTCTTCTTGCTCTACAGTTCGCTGAAACCGCTGCCTCCCAGATCCTCGTCTCCTCACCACCAAAATCCCAGTCTCTCTCATCCTCCGATCAATGGCAATAAAGGTCCTGGAATTAGGTGTTCATCTTTGTGGATATCTCCCAGCATATATTCGAACAGCTTTTGGTGAATTCCCATCGCACTTCCCCAGAATGAGATGCATGTCTGACATTTTGTTTTTAGTATAATGTTGGTGGTCCTGATCAGTCATTATTGGTTGATATTTTTTCACAGTTCACACTGAGAATTGGACTCCTTATAATAATGAAACTAGATTGATATTCTTCGTTTAATTTATTTATTTATTTATACTGATTACAAACAGACTGTGTCTAATGAAATGTATCAGTTAGGGAGGTAGGTGAAGAGAATGGAATTAACTAAAGCTAAAACTAAAAACTATATACATTAAACTTTCGAGACTTTCAAGTCACATCATAATTAGTTTTACCTAGTTTAGCATTACATATTAAAATAACAAAAACAATAAAAAATATTAAAATAGTTAACTGGAATATATCACAGGTGAGAGAGAAGTGAAGTTTTGGAGATAATTCAGATATCAATTTCACATGTCTTTAAGGTACAAGTAAACCCACCAAAAAAAAAACGGTATATTCAAAGAGCATGAAAAAAATCTCGGATGTTGAAAATGGCAATTTCAATCTATTCTGAGATTTTGAAAGAAATCTGTCGACTGGTTTTTTCGAAAAAAATTATAAACACCATTTTTTCGACTTTTCTCAAAAACTGATCGACAGATTTTCTTCAAAATCTTGAGAAAGTTTGATATTGCCATTTTGAATAATCCAGATTTTTTTCATAATTTTTGAATTCACAGATTTTTCACTATGATGAAAAACTTATAAAAACTTGTCATAATATCAACACCAGCGAAAAAGTTTGCTTTACTTTGATTGATTATACAATATTGAACATATGAGAACAATTAAAATCACTTTGCAGACGTGGAAAATATTTAATTATATTTTTAAACTCGACTTGTATGAATTCAGACAGAAATTCTCATAAATCTAGATAATGCTCCAGGACGTGGTGCCTCTGCTGGAAATAGTTATAATCATTTAGGATGTGATTTCAACATAAGATAGTATCGCTACTCGCCACTGGGGATCGCAACAAATGCATGTCGTTCTGGTGCTATTTAGATACAGTGTTGCCAACATTTCTAGAGAGAGATGACCGATATTGGTGAACCGATTTGTTTCTAGGAATTATTGTGCGACTATCTAGGCATTTGTAGTTTCAATTGTGGAATCTGGGAAAGTTATTTGGAAAATGGAGGGATAATAAATAATGTCTCGTTGAATATCTGAATTGATACGTAAAAATATACATACTTATTCGAATATTTGCACAATATGGACTTTCAAATGAACTGGATAGGTAGGTAATACCTCTAATTTACTGACTGTATGTATCTAAGTATTTACCTACTTGAAATTTGGCAGGTGTTTATAATTCCGCTGGCCATGCATTATGGAATTGTTGAAGA